GACAAGGTATATATACTTTATATATATATATATATATATACCATACGGTATATATACTGTATATATATATATATATATATATATATATATATATATATATATTTGTGTCGGTGTGTGGGTGTGTGTAGGTTCCACGTATGTCTTGATAATGTAAATAAGCAATCGATCGAAGTAGAAACCTATACGTTGACATTATTATTATTATTATTTTTGTAGGACAAGATATGTGATAGGCCGAAACATGACACTCTCCTCACATAGATATTTGCCAGTCGCCATGATGAGACAAACATACCACAACATTTGCCATGAGTACAACCACCCAAAATTGGCATCTACGAAAGAAGGTGGTACAAAGCATACAAGCACCCAGCAAGACGTTAGCAAGAAACACTCTGGTTGTTTGCTGAAACTTGTAATGAAAGCTACACACACAATTTAAGGTGAGCAAAAGAAAATTAAGTGAACATCTCATCACTGTTCAGCCAGAGTACTTGAAACAAATATATTGGAATGGTAAAAAAATATCAGCATGGTGTGTCAGTTTTATTAAGAAACAACAATAATACATTACATACTAGCCGACAGGAAGGCTTCAATCAAGTAATTAACAAATCTGAAAATACAGTCAATTGATGAATGTCTTTTCAGATTAGTACATACAGTATCTCAGTATGGTATGTTATTGATAAAGCAGCAAATACCAATGTTTCATTTTTGATTTTTAACAAACCTGGTTTTGCATTATTGTAACTACTGTATTTATTCCTCAATAGGAGCAAATTACTGGATCAGATGGATGTGATGCAAACAATTCCATCTGTGTGGACATGATGAAATGGACATGTCCAATCCATGGTTAGCAGAAGGTGACAATGCTCAGAGCTCTGCAGCAAGTGATTGAATCCAAAATATTTCCAAAGAATTAAATTAAAATGATTTATCTAGTGATTTTTTTTCTGAAGATATACTGAAATGCCACACACAGTTTTTGTTTTTTACGCATCTGGTTTATATTGCAGCATCTGGTTTATGTTGCATGCCAAATTTATAAGAAATAAATAAAAACTGTACCAGTATTACTGTACCTGTTTCACTTGCAAAATACCTTTAATATTATTAAATGGTATTATAATCCCATTCAATAGTAATCCTTTTGAGGCAAATATGTGACCCAGA